GCCACAGCCACGGCGCCCCGCTCCCGGAGCCCTCGGATGTACGTAGGCTTTTCTTGGATCACCGTTCTCTTCCCTCCCCTCCTCCCTCTGCAGGACCCCCCACCCCAGCTCTCCTCTCCCCTCTTTCCCCACTTGCTCAACTGCCCCCTCGCCCAGCTGGGGCACACACGGGGGGGATGTGGGGTGCAGGCTGCAGCCCCCCCAGCACCCATCAGCCTTCCACTGGGTGTATGGTCTCCCCGGGGGAGCCAGCCCATCACCTTGGGGCAGGTATTGGGGCAGCCAACAGGTCACCCCCCCCGCAAAGCCATGCATCACTCTGCAGATATCACCCCCTGGGGACAAGGGCTCGGCAAGCCAGGGTCACCGCTGGGCTCAGCACCTCCCTGGTTGTGGATTGAGCCCAAACAGCCAAGAAATGGGTAAAGCTGGAAAACTCTTGCTTCCCCTCCAGCCCCAACCCTTCCCAGTGCAAAGGTGCCAGCACCAGCACTCAGGAGTGCAGCACCCAGTTTTTGCCCAGTCTGGGGACTGGGGTTAGGCCAAGCTAAGGTTTGGAGGGGGTTTGGTGCTGGGTGCTCAGGCTTTAGGAACTCAGCATCCCCATGGCGGGTGACATCGGAGCTAGGTGTCCCCAGCTCTGCCTCAGCACCCCAGGGGTCCCAGTGAAGCCCGGGGGCTGCTCCCACGCTGAGTGGGGCAAAGCCCTAACCCAGTGGGCCCAGGGGGCCAGCCCCAGTTTAACCAGTGCTGGGGTGGCAAGGAGCCCACTGTGGCTAGCGGGAGGCTGGAGGCAGGGCTGAGTGAAGGCAGCATGCTGGGGAACCCCACTAATGGGGGGCACAAGGGTCCCCACTTGCCCCAGGGGACTTTATTTTCATGGGCGAGGTGCTGCGGGGATGCTCCTGGGCTGGTAGCACCCAACACTGCTGCCACCCAACGCTGCCACCCCAGTGCCTGCGGGGCCAGGGGCACCCTGGAAAATGGGGTGAGGACCCCCCCACCCCATACTCACATCCCTTTCACCCTCTCCAGCTCCCCATCCCCGGCCCAGCACCCAGGACCCCACAGCAGCACCCAGCACCCTGCCCGCCTCTCAGGGCAGCTCTCTGCTTTCTTCTTTCCTGTGGTTTCGGCTGGGGCGTGGGGGGGTTCAGGTGCCGAGCACCCACCCAGGCACCCGGCTTGCCCCGCTCTCCCCCTGCCCACCACCCCCAGCACCCAGCATCGCCCAGGCCGCTGAGCTCCCACAGCTCCCCGGCACCAGCGGGACTTTTCTCCAACAACTTTCTCTCTCTTTCTCTCTCTCTCTCCTCTTTCTCTCTCTGGTTTCTATTTTTTTTTTTTCTTTTTAATCCCATCTGTGTTTTTCTTTAGCCTCCCATTTGAAAAAAACCCAAACGGTAATATACACTTCCATTTCTTGCTCAGCAGAAGCAGGGACGAGGGGGAGGGAAGGGCAATGAAACGTGCTTTTTTTTACCCCCTCCTTGTTTTAGTTTCCTTTCTCATGATTTCTTTTCTTTTCCCTTGTGATGTACAGAAATGCAAACGATATATATCTCTCTTAATTTCTCCCCCCCCGTCGTCGTCGTGTTGTTCTAGAATTTTTTGCTTTTGTGTGTGTTAATGTGGAGAAGAAAAAAAAAAAAGCAGATGTGTTTTCTAAATATTTACGACTGCTGAACATTGTATTTCCATTTTCTCTATTTTGAACAAGGAATTTAAAAGGGAAGATAACCGAGCAGCTCTGTACTGCAAAGGTAGCGGGCTCGCTTCGATACCACGGAGCAAATTGCCCTTTGCCTCCTTGAATTGGCTACTGCCCCATTGCCTCGGCTGGCGGCCGGATCCTGCTGCCGTGGGGGTGGTTTTCCTCCGCGGTTGCAGGATGAGGCGGCTGGGTGCTGGGTTTTCCCCTCCCCCAAGCCAAGCACCTTGTGGCCATCCTGCACCCAGGCACCTGCATCCCAGCAGGATGGGTGCTGAGCATCCTTGGTACCTGGCCCCCTCCCCCTCCCCGCCTCCTGCAGACCCCCCAAAAGCTCCGGACTCAGCCCGTCCCCCGGGTGAGCTGTGGCCCCCCCCCAGCACCCCCAGAGCCACTGGGAGGAAGGGGTGCTCCGGGACGCTGCACCGCATTGCCTTCCCTTTTAAATACCCGGTCCCGTCTCCATCCATCCCTGCTGCCTTCCCCAGCCTTCCTCCCGGGTCTCTCCTCCTCCTCCTTGCCCACACACAACCTCCGGCCCCTCTTTCTCTCCGGTTTTCTTTGGGCCAACACAACCCAACAACCCTCGCCGTGTCCCACCTCCATCCATCGCCTTCCCTGCATGTCATCCGGGACTTTGCCATGTTCTATAGCGACTTTTTAAGAGCGCAACGCACCCGGGTTACAGATACCAGCCAGCAAACCCCGCCGCGGCCACCCCGCTCGGCGGCCGGCCCCAACCCTTCCATTTAAAAAAAAATTAAAATTTAAAAAAAAAAAAAGCTAACGAGACCAATTTTAAAATAATTAAGAAAAATCTAAGCAAAGCAAATGGGATTAGCCGAGGGGTCTGGATCGCCGTACTAAAGAGTCCTTGTCTTTTTCCCATTCTGCCCTCCAAATGTGGAGATTATTGTTTTCTTTTTTTATTATCGCATTCCTGTCACTGCCAATTGCAAAGGTAGGTATTTTGTCCACCTCTGCACGTTCACTTCTGCAGATGAGCCTGTTGAAAAGCACCGTAGCTTGATTTAATGTTATTTTCTCTTTCTTTCTGACTTTCTTTCTCTTTCTTTCTCGCTCTCCTTCTCTCTCTCTCTTTCATTTTGTCTCTTTTTGGTGGCTATATATAATAATTTTTTTTATTTGTATGGTTTTCCCCAGTTAGCTGCAAAGCCATGCTCTTCTCTTACGTTCTTTTTTTTTTTTTCCCCCTGTCCACGTAATATTTTTTTCTTTCTTCCCCCCTTTTCTCTTCCCCGTCTCCTCGTGCCGTCGGTAGAATGCATTTCTGTGTCTTTCAGCCCTCCAACTTTGTGTTCGTTTCCATCCAGGGGCCAAGCACGGCTGCTCCGTTTGAGTCCCCCCTTAGGGATCGGGTAACGAAGGCAAACATAATTAGTGAGAAATAGGGGCGGCAGCCAGAGCCCATGGGTGGGAGTGGCAGCAGATCCTGGGCGCAAGGGGTTTCCGGGTGGATGGATGGGAAAAGAAACGAGAAATTTGGGGAGATGTGTGGGTTTAGCCCCTCCTTGGGCTGTGGTAGACAAAAAAAACCCTGCAACCCAGGGAAAATGTTGGGGGGCTGCAATGGGGAAAGGTTGAAACCTTCCTCTGTGGAGGGAGGCAGATCCAGGGCATCACAGTCCCCGAGGGGCAGGGGACGGTGTCCCAACCCCAGCCATCCTATCCCTGCAAGCCCCCAGCACGTGTTTTCCCTTTTGCACAGAACCTTTGCCAATTTGGATTTATTTGGGGTGCTTTTCCTTTTGTTGCCTTCCTGCACGCCTGGGCAGGAGACCCCGGGTTTGGGTGGGAACCCAAGGTCCTGCAGCCCCAGCTGGCGGCGTGGCCAGCTGGCACCAAAATACCACCCTGGGAAAGAGGAAACCCCTCTCTTTCTCTCTTCTTCTTCCTCTTCTTCGTCTTCTTCTTCATCTCCGCTTTTATTTTCCCCTGCCTGGGCATGGGGCTGGGCACGGGCTCAGCTGAACCCTTAGAGGTGTCTGTGCCCCCCAGTGCTTGCAGGGCAGCTTGTGCCATGTGGGCATTGCCGCCAGCCTCCCCCCTCCCTGGAGCAGTTGCAACAGCAGCAGATTGCTAAAAAAATACCCCCAGATCCCCTCATTATCGCTCCAGTAGGCTGGTGTGCGGCTGGAGGGGGTGGCTTCTCTGTGGGGACTAGGAGGTGATGGGGGACATGCCACCGGTGGGGTGCAGAGTAGCTTGTGTGGTCCCCCACCTCGGGATGCTCGGGGACGTGGTGGCCTTTTCACAGCATCTTCATGGTGGTCCCCAGGCTCCCACCCTGGTTCCTCGCCTGCTTCTCTTTTGGGGGAGAAAAGCAGCAATTAGGACATGGCAGGGCGGGCAGGGAGAACCTCATCCTCCAGGATTAATGTTTGGGGTGATGGGCTGGTGGGGAGTCGGGGTTGCCGGCCCCCAGCTTAGCCCTGGGTGCGGTGACACAATCCCAGCAGCACCCCGATCCCCCTGGACCCTGTTAGATCCCCTTGGCCGGGCTCGGCACTGCCCTGTGCAGGATTTACCCCTCCAGGGATGCTCAGGAACCCACGCAGGGCTTCAGCCGGGGGAAGGAGACCCCCAAAGCCCCCCAGGATGGGGTTTGCCGGCTTGGTTGTGGCCAGCGGTGCAGGAGCTGTTTCCACCCATCTCTTTGGTCTAGCGGCGTTTGCAAAGATGGGGAGGAAAAGCCCAGGCAGCGGCTGCGGCTCGGAGGAGCTCAGATATTTGGGAGCCGCTGTGTGCTGGACCCCGGAGCCAGGCAAAACCCCCCCAGCTCTCGGCGAGAGCCTGGTGTGGGGCCTTGGCCGTGGCAGTGGCCCAGGGTCCTGTCCCCCCCCATAGGAGAAGTGAGTTGGTTTGTTTTATTTCTCCTCTCTTTGGCTCTGTCTCTGTCTCTCCTCCTTCTCTCGCTCTTTCTTTCTCTCTTGCATTTTTGTGAATCTAATGATGCACTTATATTGCCCCGCTTTTCCCTTCTCTTCATACCTTACCTACTAAAGGAGGAAATGCCACTTTTTTGGTAAGTGGATGTTAACCAAGAGGGACTTAAAAAAAAAAAAAAGCATATAATGGAATAAAAAAAAAAAGGAAGCAGAAAGCAAAGTCTGTGTTGAGTGCTGATGAGGACTTAGCAGTTCCCTGCAGAGTCGCAGCTAACAGCTCAACGCGTGTCCCAGGAAGAGCTCAGAGACGTTCGTTTATCTCAGTAACAAGGACATTTGTGAAGTTTTGCTTTGGTTTTGGTTTTGGTTTGTTTTAATTTGATTTGATTTGATTTGGATGGTTTTTTTTTTTCTTCTTTCTTTTTTTGGTTTCTTTTCGCCTTCTTGCCCCCGGCCCCCCGCCCCCCGCCTTGCCCTTCATTGTCGCTCTGTGCCGTCCTCCTCATTTCTTGATTTATTTTAAGCTGAAAGCTGAACTATCTTATAACAACTACACGTACCTGAACATATCTCTCTATATGTGCATGCCTTTGTGTGAGCAGCCCCCATCACCTCCAGCCCTCTTTGGTTCGACCCCTTCCCCTCGGCTCAGTCTGATTTACTCTCCCCCACCTCCTACCTTCCCTCCTCTCATCTTTTCTTTCCCCCCCCCCATTTTCCTCCCTTCGTTTGGGTTTTACCCCCCTTTTCCCTTCCCCTTTCTTGGTCGGGGCGGGCGGGCACCAGGGTTTGCTTTATCCCCACTCCAGGTGTTTTTTGGGGGGGTTGTTTCCTTCCCTTCGAGCTCTCCCTCCCCAATGACTTGGGGGTTTTCTTGGATAATTTTTGGGTTTTTTTTTGCTCCCATCCCACCCCTTCCTTTGGGTTTTTTTACATTTTATTTTAATTATTTTTTTTGGCGTTTTGCATGCGGAGGTTTGCATGACCCATGTTGTTGAGGGCGAGAGGAAGGTGCAGGGTAGCGTCTGTGTAGCCTGCCTTATGCGATGTGCGTTGACGTTGTGAACCGCGTCCCCGGCCCTGCGCCCCCCATTAAAATCCCCTTTCTCCTTCTTTCTTCTCTTCTTCCCCCCCTCTGCCTTTCCCCATTCTCTTTCTCTCTCTCCCCCCTTGCCAGAGGCCGGCCTTGGCGTCCTCCTCTCCGCGGGCTCATGGCAGGACAGAGCCGCCATCCCCCCGTACCCGGGGGGGCC